TTTTTTTTTTTCTTAATTGTTATGCCATGTTTTAAGGAAACCTTTTCAGAGAATGGAGCAAAGGTCATAAACACAGTATGATGCCTGAGCTGGAACAGCACATGTCTGCTTTGCTTGCACTAGTCATGAATCATCTAATAATTCATGAATATTGTTAATTATTGCTAATAATTATTAACAATAATAAAAAAAGGGGGGGAATGAGAAGAAAGATGGATCACACCAGTGTTTTAAATACGGTATGTACCGGCTGGTATTACCGGTAATACCGGATACCGGTGGTCCAACCGGTATGATTACCTTCAAAATATTGTTTTGACCAAAATACCGGTTTATACCGGCTTCATTCCGGAAAATACCGGTTTTACCGGCTAAAATACCGGCTAAAATACCGGGCATACCGGATTTTTTTAAAAAAATATTTGTATAATATATTTTTATTAATTTATTTATATAAATAAAAAGTTCTACACTTGAATTTAGTATATTTACATTGTTATTTGACTTTAGATAATTTTAGTATTTATTATAGTTAGTTTTATATATTATTTATATTATAATAATAAATTAATTTAATATTTATTAAAAACCGGTAAAATAGACGGTTTACCAGTCGAACCGCGTACCGGTGGCTCGTCCGGTATGGTCACCGGTACGGTATTAAAAACATTGGATCACACAACAACGTATTAAAGAAGCAGATATATGCAAATTTGTCAAACGTGTAGCACATTGAGTGAAAATATGGTTTTAATTGACATAATCTGATAGAACTTGAATACTATACAAATGTGCTTTTTAAATGACCATCACCACATCCATAATCGTTCATTACTTGGGGATAATTTTACAAGTACAGCTCCAGCTTTTCTTGGGCAATTAAAAAAAAAATGTAAATAAATAAAATTCATCACACGTTAACCGAAATAATATGCTCTAAACCTCCCGACATCAGAATGTGATCACCTGTAGGCAGTACCATATTCCCGAGCTCGTCTGCAAAGCTAAAATGTTGGCACGGGTCAACTACAAGCGTAGTTTCAACAGCTTCATAAGGCAATAATTGGATACGCTCAAACCCGATTAGCTGCTTTTCAGGAGAGCCTTCGAGTTTCATAACTGCTTTTGAAAATAATAGCACCACCTCATTCCCATGGACGTCCTCATTGTTCGTCACCCCAATCTGCACTTGAAATCGCAATGAACTGCAATTTGGGACCTCATCAATATAGATATAATCACGGGTTTTGCCTCTTTTATAATACAGCATGTCTCTCCGGCGTCTAGAATAATTAAGACTCAATTTTTTGGGTGCTGATAGAAGTTTGTATGTGAAGCTCGTGTAACTTAGCCCGTATCCAAAATTATATATCGTGTCTCCAGTGTAAAACCGGTAAGTCCTTCCTGGATAGTTGCGGGTAGGGTTGGGTCGCATGTTCATGTCACTCATGGGCACGCTCGTGAACGATTCGGGGTACCAAGTCATGGGTAGTCTTCCACCTGTTTATTTATTTATTTTATTTATTTCATAGCAAAACCACTTCATATTCTAGCACACAATTCCTACTGGGATATTTAACAGAAACTACAATCCCCAAGATTTGGGAGTAGTTGGAGAAAAATTGATTACCACCAATATAATAAATATTGACTATTAAATTAAGACTATGTTTGATAAAACTAGCTGATAAGCTAACTGATAGTTGATAAACTAGCTTATAGCTTATGACTTATAGCTGAAAAGCTAGATTATATGATGAAAGTGTTTGGTTAAATTAGCTAATAAGCTAGCTGAAATAATAATAATAATTAAAAAAAAAAATCAACTAGCTTATTTGAAAAGCTACCTAAAGAAGCTTATGAGATGAGCTCGAACTTTTTAAAAAATATCGTCCTACCAAACGAGGTTTATTTGAACACAGGAAGCTTATAAGCTAACCAAATAAGCTATAAGGTAGCTTATTTGCCTACCAAACAAAGCCTAACTACCCCCGGTATAAATCAGTCCCCATTAGGTAGCAAAAAATAATGGCAAATATTGCATATAAACATAATTATTATCAACCTGGATTATATTGTCCTGAAATGATTTCTGCAAGGGCTGTACCAGCAGTCTCCCCAGGATAACCGATCCAGAGAATGCTGCCAATACGTGGGTCCCCAGCAGCGAACGATACATCGAGTGGGCCACCCCCCGTAAGAACTAATATCAATGGTTTTTTACTCACAGAAGCTAAAGCAGTAACGAGTTCCTTCTGATGGCCAGGTAAAAGAAGGCTGTATCTGTCGTGATCCTCTCTTTCTTGAGATAAATCCAAACCAACAACCACAACCACATAGTCTGCTTGTTTGGCTACAGAAATAGCTTGCGCAAAATGAACAGTTGAATTGCAAGATACGTCCTGGCAACCCGTAGCATGATGGACATTATTGACATATTCTTTAAGTCCTTGGAAGATGCTTATTGGGTTGCATGGAACTCCTAGAAAGCAGGAAAAGGTCCGCAGTCTTTTCAAATTTTTATAAATATAATCTAACAGAAAAGTTTGATGACCTAATCTGAGTTAGGGAAAAAACAAAGAGGAAGAACAAACAAAAAAGGTAATAGTGAGTGAAAATGCATACTTTATATTCGAAAATATGAATTCGTTTGATTTAACTATCAATTTTAATGATCCTGAACATACTATAAATGCCTTGCACATTGAATAAATATTTACCTACATCAGTTCTTAACAAGTGCTAGCAGGCAAAAAGTATGAATAGGTAGGTGTAAGCAGCTTTGCTAAGCATGACTGAAAAGACAAACCTGTATAGCCACCTCCCATATCAGTTGAATTAGACAGAGGACCAATAATGGCAAGTGACGAGTCAAAATGTGTATCTAAAGGCAAAAGTTTCTGCTCATTTTTCAGAAGCACAATACCCTGCCTTGCAGCTTCAAGAGCCAAGTTTCTATGTTGTTTAGTGCACACGTCTTGAGGTCCCAAATTTCTGAACGGATTACTTCCATGCACATCATCAAAGAGCCCAAGCCGAAGCTGCACAGTGAAAAGATTTAGCAATGCTCGATCAATATCCGCCTCCAACACTTTCCCCTGCTCAACTGCAGACTTCATGTGACGCAACATATACGTTCCGCAGTTTATGTCAGTCCCTGCCACAGGAAAAAAAAAAA